GCTGGGAGGAGCAGTGGAAGAGATGACAGGTGAGGGAACCAGGACCTGGGGCAGATAGAGCTCATCCTTCCCTCTACGTCCTTAGCTACCCTGGAAGTCACTGGCCAGCATAGTTCAGTTTTACTACATGTGGAAGACCACAGACCGCTATATTCAGCAGGTAAGGTTGGCTGGGGAGGCTGGACCAGAGACCTGCTCACCTCTGTCTTTGAAGTTGATGACATCCTCCCTGCTGAGATAATCTGAGCTATTTTTAATTTTTCTCCTTCCTGCAGAAAAGATTGAAAGCTGCTGAAGCAGACAGCAAGCTAAAACAAGTCTACATACCCACCTAGTAAGTGTGATGGGGAGAGAGGCATGTTTCCCTTCTCTGCCCCTAACCTGTGCTTTCCTTAGTGATTGGAGGTGGGCAGGAGATGAGGTCAAATTGTTATAGAGACAGAGTAGAAATGGATTCTTCTCCTTGACCAGTTCCTGGTTTCTCCCCCTCTGCTTCCCCTATTAGCACCAAACCAAACCCTAACCAGATCATCTCTGTGGGCTCAAAACCTGGCATGAATGGGGCTGGATTCCAGAAGGGCCTGACTTGCGAGAGTTGCCACAGTGAGTTCCAGGGTGGGAAAGGGATACTGGGGGTGAGCAGGGTGTTTTCTCTGGCCCGAGAACCTGAGAGGCTCCAGTGGCATTTACCCACAACCTTTCCTTCTCTCCATGCTCCTGCAGCCACACAGTCTGCCCAGTGGTACGCCTGGGGCCCACCCAACATGCAGTGTCGCCTGTGTGCTTCCTGTTGGATCTACTGGAAGAAGTACGGGGGACTGAAGACCCCAACCCAGCTTGAGGGGGCTGCTCGGGGCACCACAGTAAGGATTGATGGGGGATAGGCCGGGGAGAGCAGTAAGCTTATTGATGTGAGCTTTGGGCGAAGGCCAGAACACCAACTCCAATAAGGTGATGGTTTGTTTGCCTAGGGGTAGGGGGAGGTGATATTTGATAGAAGTCGGGGAGCCAGGTGGGTCAGGATGGCAACAAAGAGATCAGGCAGGAATAAAATGCCCTCTGCAGAGAATGGAAGAAGGAAGCCTGGGTGTCTATCTGTGTTCTCCTTTTTACCTCTGTCCTTCCAGGAGCCACACTCAAGAGGTCATTTGTCCAGACCCGAAGCCCAAAGTCTCTCCCCTTATACGACCAGCGCCAACCGGGCCAAGCTGCTGGCTAAGAACAGGCAAACATTCCTGCTCCAGACCACGAAGCTGACCCGTCTTGCCAGACGCATGTGCAGGGACCTGTTACAGCCGAGGAGGGCTGCCCGACGCCCCTACGCCCCTATCAATGCCAATGCCATCAAGGCAGAGTGTAAGGGCAGGAGTGCCGGGGCTAGTGGCAGGTTTGGGGTTGCTTTGGCCAGAGACCAGTGTTTCTCTGGATGTGTAATGGCAGTAGGGATAGTAGGCCACAAGGGTTTGTCCAGGAGATTAGACATGGCTCCTGGCCCCAAAAGAGACCTGAATAGCGAAGCCCCCTTCAAATGTTTTCATCTTTGTTCTCCAGGCTCCATTCGACTTCCTAAGGCTGCCAAGACTCCATTGAAGATTCACCCTCTGGTGCGGCTCCCCTTGGCAACTATCGTCAAAGATCTGGGTAAGGGAAGGAGAACTAGACTGGATACAGGGTGCGTATAGGGTGGTGTCTGGCTAAAGTAACAGATATCAGTCCTATTATTATCAAGACCCTTCTCTTCCCCTGCTTTTTTCTTTCCCATTGAGTCCAAAGAGATTTAGTCTAATAGACTGTACTTTTGTAGGTTAAAATGTTTTTTTAATAAGCTCTCCAGTATAACTATATACTGATTAATAAGATCATACTCATATGAATTTTGTAGTACTGGTAATTGCTTGCTAGACCCCTCTCCCATCACTACTTTTGGGGATGCCCAGGGAAACTGCATAGAGAAAAGTATGAAAGTTCTCTAAGGTTGCCTTTATGTTTTTCTGACAGTGGCCCAGGCACCTCTGAAACCAAAAACACCTCGAGGTACTAAGACACCGATCAACAGAAACCAGCTGACCCAGAACCGGGGCCTGGGGGGCATTATGGTGAAACGGGCCTACGAGACTGTGAGTTGACAGACTGGAGTGGGCCAAGTTGAGTTGGGTGGGCTTTTATTTATGCTAGGTGTCTGAGAATCCCCTCTCTCACCCTTTTCCAGATGGCAGGAGTCCCCTTCTCTGCCAATGGAAGGCCTCTGGCCTCAGGGATTCGCTCAAGCTCACAGCCAGCAGCCAAGCGACAGAAACTCAACCCAGCTGATGCCCCCAATCCTGTGGTGTTTGTGGCCACAAAAGATACCAGGTAGGGAGCCCACCATGGGAGGGGTGGAGAGGTTGACAACCCAGATTGGTGGCTATGGGAAATAGGAGTATCTGAGCAAGACCAGCTCCAGGAAGACTGGGTGCAGGGTGGGGATGCTCCGAAAGAATGGGCTGGAAGGTGGAATTGCAGTGTGGAATGTGGAATTTCACCTTGAAGGTCTTTGCTTTCTCTGTTGCCCTCTTCTTTTTCTGGCCAGAGCCCTACGGAAGGCTCTGACCCACCTGGAAATGCGGCGAGCTGCCCGCCGGCCCAACCTGCCTCTGAAGGTGAAGCCACCGCTGATTGCAGTGCGGGCCCCAGTCCCTCTTCCTCCATCCTCACATCCTGCCAGCACCAACGAGCCCATTGTCCTGGAGGATTGAGCATCTGTGGGGAAGGGAGGTGGGCTGAAAGCTAGAGGGTGGGTGCACAGGGCACCCAGCCTCCCTTCCCTCTAGTATCAAAGGGAAGAAGGAAGGAGGGAGGGAGGGAACAAGTGAGTGTGTCTTTGGAGGGGTTGGGCGCCCTCTAGTGTTACCACTTCGAGGCTTGTCCCCTTCCAGGGCTTCTCCATGCCTAGTGATGGAGGGCTGACCACCAGAACTTGGCCCATTGTGGGAACCTAGCCTGTTTTGAGGGGTAGGACCCACAGTTGTCTTGGACAGTTTTGGGGGGAGGGTTTTTTTAATTTTTTAAAAATTTTGCCTCCCTTTGTGAAAGGGGATGGGAGAGGGGAAGAGTAAACAGATATCAGGTGGTGGTATCTGGCTGAGGGAGGGGGGCATGCACTGCCATGACTGCCATGTCTGTCTTTTTGGGTTTTTTTCTAATTGGGGGTTTTTCTTCCTGTCCGGTGTCCGGACCTTCCTAATTGGAGTTTGAGACCCCTAAGCTGGCATCAATCCCAGCCTATGCTCACTCTTTCCTTCCCTCCCCTTGCCCCTTCTGCCTTTTGTACGCCAATTCTCAGAAATAAAGATCTTTTGTCTGTTTTTTTTAACCTTGGATTCTGTAACTGGTTCTTATAGTAACAAATAAAAAGCTGTTTTCTTCAGCTCCTCCTGGCTCAGCTATTCTCTGCTGTGTGTGTGTGTGTGTGTGCGCGTGTGTGCACGCTGGAGGCATGTGTCTTTGGGAAAATAAAGAACAAAGGACGGTAGAGAAGGTACAGATGGGGCTTGCCCTGAGTACAGGTTTATGAGATACGCAGCCTGGACTTGTGACCTGCTCCATCTTGCTTTCTTGTTGGACCCAAACTGCTCCCCAGCTCCCTATGGTACTGGTGCCCAAGCACCATCTTGGCTCAGATTCATTAAAACCAGTTGGGATGAGCTGGTTCTCAGAATGGCTGACGGCTTCCATAGGAGTGTGTGTGAAGGTGCTTCTTTATTTCCCAACTCTCACTCCCCTCTCCATAAATTTTATGTAGGGGATTCTGGGAGTTGCTAGAGGCCAGAGCAAGATGTAGCCCACTTTGGAGATACTGTAGGATCACACCATCTAGCTCTATGGTGTATTTGCAGAGACTACTGCTTCAAGTATCCCCAAGGCCAGCTTCAGCAACTGCCTTGATATAGGGGCTCAGTCTAGTGCTGTTTCCTGCTTTTTTAGGTGTGGGAGACAGATTAGACACTTAAACCAGTCTCAACAGGAGGAGTACCTTAGGAGAGAGAACAAGAAGTTAGGCCCACTTTGTTCTCCTTGAGCACTTTCTTTAGAGATGGGGAACAGCCTCAGCAATTGTGACTTGCTCAAGGTTACAGACCTTGAGATGTCTGCCTTAAGTCAGTTGCTCGTTCCACAGTCCAAAGCTGTGGGCTGATCAAACACACCAAGAGCTACTTAGCCCAGCTTATAGGCCCTTCTATCTCACGGTCCCTGTCCCTAGGGCCTCAGCCAGCACCTCGGTAGTGTGGGAGGAACTGGCCACTATAACAGTCTTGGGGAAAGCAGCACACTCCAACTCCTTCACTCAGTTGCCACCATGGTTTCCGCCGCATGCATCTTAAGTGGACCAGTGGTTCTTGGGCCTGGTGAGTACACTCCATGCAGCACGCTATCGCAGAAAGAAAGCCATCTGGCTGTGGCCCCGTGGAGCCCGGAAGGTGCCAGATGGGGGCAGAGCTCTTCAGCCAGGGCTAGAAAGAGGTCGCAGAACACCCGTTCTGGGAGAGGACCGACGGTTGAAGGAGAAAGTAACAGCCTTGAGGTTGGGAGTCTAGGGACAGCCCGTGCTTCGTGGAGGCTGCTCATCCTCCGCCTTTATTCGCCAAGTTAATATGGGGTTGATACAGCCGCATGGGTCTCTATTGCCCCTTGAAGGAGGGCACAGCCTGCCCACCACCACCTAGCAAGGAAACAGCCGGCTGTTAAAGGAGCGGGCCGCGCACAGAACCCGGTGCCTGCCTTTGTGGCTGCTTTATGAATATTCATGATCTTTGAGCCAATCAACGCCTGAACAGCTCAGAGCACACCAACTGGCTTGCCGAATGCAGATAAGCACCGTAGACCGTCTTCCTAAAGCCGGCAAATACTTAGCACGGGCTGGAAGCGGCAGCCTGAGTGGAAAGAAGTCGGTTTTCGGAAGAGTGTGCCGCGCGATTGGCCGACTTCTACGTCACTTCCTATTGGACGGGCGGAAGTTGCTTTCCAGCGCTTGGCAATTTGTAGGAGTGAGTTCCGGTCGTGGCCGAAGTGGTTGCATTTTGTTAGTACCGAAGGGTCGCGATGGCTGCGGTGGATTCGGATGTCGAACCGCTGCCTCGTGGAGGTTTCCGCTGCTGCCTCTGCCACGTCACTACAGCCAACCGTAAGCGGTGGCTAGTGAGGGGGGGGGTGTTTGTGGGCTTTCGTCTTTGGGTCCTAGCGAAAAGTTAGGGTTATAGGTCATAGTTCTTGTCAAGTCTGTTGGTAGGGTTTCACCTCTCTTTTCACTCCGCCGTCCAACGGAATTACAGACTGAGGAGAGTCCCACCACCTTACGCTCTATCTTCTTGGTATTCGAAATCTCCACGAGGAAAGTTTCGTTATTTTATTCCCTCTTTAATTGTCATCTATTGGACATCCCCTTTGCGCCTGGTACTCCGCTGGGCTCCGGGGTGGGGAAAGGGGATTTAGAGATGAAGGATCTCACCATCTAGACTGCAATTCCAATGCCCAATAGATGAGTTTGGAAAGCTGCAGAATCACAGAGAAGATAGTAGTTGAGGGAAGCCCTACAGAGGAGTTTCCCAAAGGCAGAGATTGGTGAAGAAGCATGGTATGTATGTCTGGAACGTGGGTTTGGTAAAGGAGACAAGGTCTTTTTATGACAGCGCGAGGGGCTTAGTGAAACCTCAAATTCCGCTTTTGAAGTCTGGAATCATAATCTCCCCTAAACATGCTCTTCTATTCTTCTTTTCCTTTGTGAATGGCACTACCATTGTCCAGTCGGGCAGGCCAGAAATCCAGGATAGTCTTCCCTGGCCCCACATACACATTGATGATATCAAGCAGCTGACCCAAAGTGTAATAAAAAATAAATAGCAGCTAAGTTTTCCCACATTCACCATGTATCAGACTTCTTGCAAAGGGCTATATATGAATAATACTTACGTGGTAGGTACTATTGTTGTCTCCTTTTATATCTGAGGAGACATGCACATTGAGGTTAAGTAACTTTACCAAATCTTACATAGCTTGAAAGAGCTGGGATTTGATTTTGGGGTAGTGTGACTTCTGATCTTGCATATGTAATCTCTATACTATACCCAGAAATGATAAATGGGAACTAGTCTAGGGTCTTGATGTATTTAGTTCTTTTTTATATGACCTGGATAAGTTATCTGTTAATTTCTTTACAATATGCAGGTGTTGCTTTACTTAGTGCTTACAGATGGTTTAAGAAATAAATACTTGGGGATAAAAGGGAGAGAGGGTATATAGCTCAATGGTAGTGTGTGCTTAGCATGCATGAAGTCCTGGGTTCAATCCCCAGTGCCTCTGTTAAAAAAAAAACCTAATTACCACCCCCCCAAGAAAAAAAAAAGAAATACCCTCGTGTATAGCCAGTTCTCCTGGGAATCACTAAGAATGCACCATGCAGACGAATGCACGGACAAGAGAGGAAGCTGAAGAGCCAGAACTTTGTTATTCAAAGGTCACACTTTCTATGGCTTGGAAGAATCAGTAGGATCTGGCCATGCAGGTGTGCTGAAGAGCCATTTGGATGTTTTTGTCTCATGCTTTTTTTTTGCAGGACCCAGCCTAGATGCCCACCTGGGAGGTCGGAAGCACCGGCACCTGGTAGAATTACGAGCTGCCCGAAAAGCCCAGGGACTTCGAAGTGTGTTTGTCAGTGGCTTTCCCCGGGATGTGGATTCTACTCAGCTCTCTGAGTACTTCCAGGCATTTGGACCTGTGGCCAGTGTTGTCATGGACAAGGATAAGGTAGAATGAATGGCTCTGGGGGTAAAGAATGAGTCAGGTGTCCTGCTTACCAAAAGAAACAAGAGAGAGAAACTGTAGCTTGTTTCTGCTGGTTCCTAATCTGGATTGCCCTTGATGGATACCCCAGCACTTGGGCTAGTCTGGCTCTGTGAGTCTCTCACCCTCACCCCCTACCCCTGCTTGGATGTTATCAGTTCACCAGAATTAGTTATTGGGGAACTTGTTGGTCATTTATTTATTCAATCTTTTATTTGCCAAATACTTAATGAACTGCTAACTTTGTACTGTGAACTGTGCTTAGAGCTGCATTCTGAGTAGTGAAGAGGATAGACATGGTCCCTGCTTGCACATGCCTTACAGTCCAATGAAGAAAGTAGACAATTACATGAATAGCTACTGCAGTGAAGTGGGTGCTTTAAGATCACATTATCAGGAGATCTATCCTAACCTTATAAGAGACTGGTGATAATCCAGCCAGCAGTTTATTAACTTATGCTGAGAGGTGCTGAGGTTATCTGGTTAGAACAGCGTGTCCTCTGGACAGTGCAAGACAAACAGACTTATTCTTTGTGATCCTTTTGTTTTGCTTCCATGCTGACCTTTTGTCGGAGTCTCTTTAGTCCCCTGGAAAAAGTTCACTGTTGTGGGTCTGTGCTCTGTGGTCGTATTATAATTCTGAGGCTACACTCTGGTTTTGTAGGTGTGGCTTAGGTGATCCCAAATCTACTTAGCAGCCCAGGTCTTCTCTTGGGATGGGGTGGGGTCTGTTTTTCTTAGGGACTGCATTCATCAACTGACCCACAGTGGCTCAAACAAAAAGGGCTTAATTGTTCTCTTACAACAAGAAGTCCAGACCTGGGCCATCCAGGGTTTTACCGTTCTCCTACTCTGTCATTATTGGCATTGGCTCTCACTTCATAGTTGTGATAATGCTGCTTCCATATCTTCAGGCAAGAAGAAGGAGAAGGTTGAAGGGCAGAGTATAAAAGGCTAGCGTCAGCTGAGTCTGACACCCACCCCTCTTTACTGTATCTCCCAGGAAAATACCTTTTCCAGAGGCCTTTTCAGCAGCTGTCTCCTTATATTTCATTGGCCAGAACTATCACATGGTTACTCCTAGCTACAGGGAAGTCTGGGAAATGAAGTTTTTTAGCAGGGCACTTTGCCCCTCTGAACAAAAATTAGGGTTCTGTTAGTAAGGGAAAAATGGGAGAATATATATTGGTGAGCATTTGGCAGTGGCTGTCTCAGGTGAGTTCTTCAGAAAGCTCAGTGCCCCCATTTGTGCTCAAATTTATTTCAGTTGTAAAGAAAGAACTTTTCCTGAACTTAAAGCTCAAGTTTTTGAGGCTTCTGATTGTGACAATAATGACTACAATTTTTATTGAGCAATTATGCACCAATTATGTGGCAAGTACTTTACATACACTGTCTTACTTAGTCTCCACAACATTTCCTCGAGATCATCACTGGGAAGTTGGAGATTTGGGGGAATCCCTACTTGGGGGGCAGTCACAAGTTACTTAACCTCTCTGAATTTTAGTAATTTGTAAAAAGGGAACAATAATACATACTTTGTTGTAGGAGTCTTATGAGACTTTGGAAATAGCCTGTATGAACTTGGTTTGTAATAGG